AACTGTCAGGCATTCCTGAGCTCAGAATTCACCTACAACCATTAATGCTTAACAGTCACCTGCTCTCCCATCAGTGTATCTCCAAGGATAGCAAGATCTCGTGTCCTTCCCAAAATGGAGGAGCAGTGGAAACTAAGAACCATCCCTTAGAGCTCTTACCCCAGGGCAAAGCAGCTGCTCTTCACTCCCAGCTGTTCCTGAGTGTCAACTCTCCTCTTAAGCTCTTGGAAGATGTGCAGTGTTGCTCCCCCTTTCTTCCTTCCTCCTTCTTCCACTCCCATAATGTAAGATGAAGCCTTCCTATTTCTTTCTATATAGGGCCCCAAGATCCAAAGGAAAGAAACGTGAATCTTTTGCTTTTTCTGTGGGTTTAAATGAAAAATTTGGGTTTATGCCTTTAAATTCCTACTGAGGAAAGTGCGAGGTGCTGCTTGTAGTGGACACAAGAACTAGTCTACATTTTTTAAAGTTCCCCTATCTGGAACATAAACTAATATATGGAGTAAAATTGCCATCTCAACAATCTAATGTACCCCACAGGTCTTTATGTACCTTGGGGATGTTGTCTGAGAAAACTTTTCTTAACTTTCAGAATGTAGTAATGCACAGATATCAAAAACAATGCAAGATATTAATGATGTAGGAAATTTTCTAAACTTTTCTTGACAATCTTTAAATAAACTTTTCTGCACAACTATGGCAAGGCAGATTTCCAAAGCAGCATACTTGAGTCTTGTTGCTGTTACAGATATTAATGGATGTTATTTGGTTGAGTCCCCCTGTGGTGCTTTGAAAGGGTACACTTGTGTGTATAATAAATTAGTTTGTTTCCTTGTTCACAGATTTTTTTTGAGAAGCAGAATTACAAAAGCATTCTTTCCCATAAGACAGAAGCAAGGCCCACATATCATAATTCTTTGCTTCCAAAGAAGATATTTCTTTGCTGCACCTGGAAAGAATGGCAGGATCCCAGCTGACAAAAATTGGATTTCAGTGAAGTCAGAGGGGAACATGAAATCACTGAAGGAACAGACCACATATAAACCCAACAGCACAAATTAAGGAAAAGTTCTTATCTGTCACAGACTAATTGACCAGGGCCTACCGATTCATGTATCAGATCTCTCCCTGCTGTTCAGAGAATCTTGAGTAAAATAAATCTGTGCCAGAAATAATTTATACTTATATATCTGTTCATAGATCACAATGTGGCCTGCTTTCTATATACCCCGTCTGTTTGCAAGCATCACCACTGATTTAAAAGGAGGATGTATGCATCTACACTAAACAGTGTTTGTAAAGTTTGATACCACACTCATTCATCTTTATTGGATCACATGTTGGTAAGGGTTTTGTTAAGTGCTCTATTATTTTGAAAGTCAGTTTAATGACTGCATACTATAAAAGTTAAAGCAATTATATGTAATGCATAATGAACAATATCACTTCCAAATGTTCACATGTAATGCATGTCAGATTTCAGTTGAAAAACAAAACAAACCCCTCAAGGTTGCAGTCTGCTCTTTAGAAGAGCCACATGTTGTAACCTCAGAACCTCAAAATATCAGCTGCTTTCTGTGCACGATCTGAACAGTGGAATCTATGCCATACTCTGCCTTTTTTTTTCCTGAATCTGGCTGCAGTAGTGATCAGATGTGTACTTCTGCCAAATGCAGTCAGTGTTTGATCCACATACAGATCAGTGAATTGATCTATAATTTTTTTTTCTTGTGACATATCTCATGTAACATAATTTTTGTACAGAATATAACAAAGAAAGATACAGAAATAAGGAATGACCTTTTCTAAAATTCATCTGTGTATGCTATTCTTATATTACTTTTGGTAAAATGAAAATATCTACAGATACCAAATGAGATCAAGGACCATTGCACTCTCATACCAGAAGAGTTAGTCTTTTGTGAAACATGCAAAATCTAAATACTCTGGACAGATAAAGATGCAGATCTACACCTGCCTGGACAGAAGAGTAGGAGTGATCAGTCATGGTTGCCAGGAACACCTTGTTGTTGTCAGAAGAACCCCTTGAGGAGGCCAGTTACTATTGTTCCAGTCCTTCAGCACAAATTTCCATGTACCATACATCTTTCCTATCCTGTTTTTGTGTACCTGCTTCTGCTGTTCTTATCCACCACTGGTGCCGCCTTTACCACAAAGAACGTTTCTGGGGGTTTTTTTTTATTATTATCAGAACTGTAGATGTAAATTACCATAGTAAACTGAGATTGAGTCATTTAGAAACAACTACCTGTCCCTTCTGTCTCACCTTTTCCTTCCCAAATGCATTGGCATACAGGAAAGAGATAGGGCTAAAGGCAAGGATAGCTGCTGCTTCAACTGTCAAACTCTGATCTGTCTGTATTTGTGAGCTGGCACTCTGAAATTATACACCAGTTCAGTCATAGAAAAATTCCAAGTAACGATCATTAAGAAGGTCAGCGGGAAAGCCTGGCTGGACCACTCAGATGTCTTATACTGGATTTCTCTGATTTCCTCCTTTGCAGGTGAACCTATTTATCTATGAAATATGGCCACAGGCCCTGAAGTTTTGAACACTTTATTAAAATGCATTGATCACGATTTTGCTGAGGATTGCAATATTTCTTGAAAAGTTCATATGAAGGGTTTGGTCTGGGGGGTTTTTGCTCCTACAGAAATGTTGTCATCTTCTGTTCTGAAGCAAATCACCTTACCGGGAACTTTGCAACTACTCAGATTAGTTTCATGTAAGCTGTTTAGGAATATTCCCTTCATTCAAATAGACCAACAATACCCAAGCAAGGCATTTGAGTATTACATTTGGAAACAAAGCTTTTTATATATTGAAATAAAATTTTATGTATGGAATTTTATTTAATACAACATTAATGTGATTTTAGATAAAACTGTCCAACAGGGTGAAGCAAATGCTTGAAAGAGTTTTTATTTCACTTCTTTGCTTATATTGTGGTTGGTATAAACTGCTTTTGTTAGTTTAATAACAAGGGTGGGAAGAGGCCAAGCACTGGGAGATTAATTTAAAAAATAGCTCAGAAGAATTAGTCACAGGAGAGCAACTTCAGGGTGTCTGGCACATATCAGCATTTTATTTCATTGTAACCAAAATATTGCACATGGATTCATAAAACACATTTGTTAGGTTTTCTTGTAAGCTTCACGGTTTGTTCTTTCTTTGAAAACCTGTGGTAGGTCAGAATTAATGGTATCAATTTCCTTTGCTAATGACCTTAAATATACTCTTTTAAAACCCAAATAGAAGCCTTTCCTAGAAAGGGCTGGAGGCTCTTCCAGCAGTATCAAGATAAAGCATGAAATGACACTTGTAAATCATGTATCTACATTTGTATTAAAAACTGCAGTAAGCCTCAACAGAATTATTTTTAACCTACTACAAAATGTATTTAGTGTTCATAGGGAAAACATCATATACTTATATGGAGATAGTCTTTGTACAATAATGCTAACATCAACCTGAATGTTATATGTGAGATCACAAAAAAAAAAATGCAGCGATTACAAGAATGTAACAGAAATGTAATCAGGTTTTTTTAAACATTTGTCACATGTGGTTTTCTGGTCAATCTTTCTCTCTTTTGACAAAGAGGAAGAAACATCACAATCCATTCTTTCAAGTAGGATTTCATAGTTGTATAAGCTGGTTGTTTGCTTTCTGTAAAGCGTCCAGCAGGGTAGTAGAAGGATTTGTCAATGTTCTTGGCATGAACTTCATGGCTGTGTGTAGGGGGCATATCTCTGTGTAAGACATTTGTATCCTTGGACAGCTTGAAGGCATTTTCATGCTATGAAGTTATGTTACTGGAGATGTTACATCCGCTTATGTCACAGTTTAAAGTAATCTGTAGAGAAGTTAGGGATTTTTTTCATATTTTATTTTTAGTATTTAGAGCACATGATCATTATTAATCAGATTTAGACTAAGTGCCAATAAATTCCACAGGCTTATAGGCTAGAGATATATCAAGCGACTTTGTCCTACAAAGACGAAGGAAGTAAATATTTCTTACATTGTGCAGTTTCAGGCTCTGATTCCATAATTGTTAATACAAAATCTTTACTGATTGAACTTTACTGATGTAAATGTGATCTGGATCAGATATACGAATACAGTTGCATTTCAGTTGAGTGAGCCAGCACATTTAGTTCAACCTTTATGCCATCTTTATGCTTTTAGATAATCTTTAAAAACATGCAAATATGCCCCAGAAACAAAACCAAAAACACTCTGCAGAGTGAGTCTCTACTGGATTGGTAAATTGTATTGTGTGGTTCTAGCAATTTTGAGTCAGTGGTAGAAGTCCATGAAGTGGATGTTCTTGCTTGGTCCATAATTTAAGAGGCAAACAAATGCCTGGGAAGGCTATCCAAATAATGGATCTTGTTTATCACCCTCTAGACATAAGCGAGGACATACTTATCTTCTGTGATAGAGAAGACACAAAATTCTGTCTACAGCTAACCTGTGCCAGCAACACTTGTGCCAGCTCAGCAAAAGGCCAAGAAACATCATTTCCAAGCTACTAAAGACCCACTCTAATAAATCTTGTACGAGAGGAGGTGCGAGTGGGCAACTGCAAACATCTTAATTCAAGTGAGCAACATCATACATTAGAAAACAAAATAAGCATTTTTCTCTAGTGAAAAGAGCATCTTGGTGTGATAGGTGTACTTTGGTGATGAAAATGCTGTAATTGAAGCTCTCTAGACTCCTCTTTTTTCCCCTTCCAAATGACAGCTTCACATTTCAACAAGGTTGCATCAACACTTCATCTTGCTAAGAAAGATTAATAGTGTGCCATAAAGTTTCCCATGTGTCTGCATCTATCTGAGGAACCTTTAAAACCTTATCTTCTCAGCTGGACATTTTTTTTTTTCTTTTTTTTTTTGTTTAAGCCCAACAAAAACAACAGTAGGGGTTTGCCCTAATGACCTCAGCCAGTCTCTTTGGAGAGTCATAGCAGCTTGTTTTCTGAGTGGTTGTAGCACTGCGCTTCAGAGATGGCTGCTCTTTAATTAGTTTGCTACTGTTTATGAAGGGAAGACCTAGATAAAGGTACGCTATTCAGTGAGCGTTTTTTCAGAAGAATTGACTAATCAAACCCTTTGCTTACTGAAGTCAGTCAGGCTTTAAGAGGATCTGAGGCAGGGCACCACTGGATGTTTTTGAAAAATCTATTCCTGCATTTTTGGGTTATTTTAGTATAAACAAATGCATTTTCCTTTGTTTATCCCTTCCTTTCTTCCATAGAGTTTTCTAGCTAATGGTGACTAAAAAGAAATGGTTCACCTCTCCATTTTCCAAGCATGGAAGTGCTCATGGAATTTTCCCTTGCTGTAGGTGTTAAGACATGGACATGCTGGTTTTGCTTTATATCTATAGCATGTTAGTTTCTGGCATGTGCACAAAGACTGGCTGTGTTTATTTTCAGGTACTGTTTACATCGTTCCTCTGGAAACTGGTTTAATGATACCCCTTTTGATTCATCTGCAGAACATCTTTTTATGGGTTTGTACAAATGACTTGAAATATACAAAAAGTCAAATGTCATTTAAATGCATTTCTTTACCTTCCTTTTGCCAGTGTCATTTTTCTGAATCACCTTTGTAAAAGAGTGCCAAATTTTTCATGCATTTCTGCATGATCAGCACATGCCAGTTTTTATTTAAATTTATTTGCTGTCCAATGTTTTTTGCAAGTGCCATCCTGGGGCAGCTGCTTTTAAGACAGAAGCTTTGCAATGAAGCAAAGTACTACTGCAGCACCTATGGGGAAGCCATGCCTAGTAAGAGCACAGCTCTAGTTTTTGAAGTTTTTTACTTGTTCTCAGGCACAGCACATATCCCACCCTATCATATCATTTCAGAGGATCCTTTGAACAAAAAACTTATATGCAGAACTAGTATTTTGGGGTTTTAAATTTATTTTTTCTTTAAGATCATTATTACTAATGAGGGCCTGATCATAATCCTCAAAGCTTTACTACTCTTAATTTGTCCTTTCAACCTAGAATGAACAAAATTATAACCTGGGATGAGCAGGAAATCTGTACCTCCTTGTCAAGTGTTTTTACAAGAACAGAAGAGCAATCAGTCCACCCACACCACCCTAGCTCTTCCAGTCTTCTCTTTTCTGCAGTGTCTCAAGCTTTGATTTCTGAACTGTTTTCCTCGAATAAGAAAAAAACCTTAGACAGTAGCCAGTATAGGGACAAGCTTTGACGCTTTAAGGATTTCTACCTCATGATGGGCATGAGTATGCATTTTCCATCCCATGCTTCTGAGATTCAGCTAATGTTCATTTGTGTCCCACAAAGGCCCACAGACTCGCAGCACACAGATATAGCAAAGCAGGGACTAAGCAGAACGGCATCAAAGGCCTTTTTGTGAAAATATGGACAATGCTATAAAACTAACCTTGTGTTAACCTACTGAAGAACAGAGGACAAGAATTCTGAATGCTAAAATATAGAGAGATGTGTGAAAGGGAAAACTTATACAAAAGTAGGCAGAATGAATAAAACTATTTATCTTTAAGCCACACAAGTCATGGTAATTAAATTAGGTCAGGCTGGCTATAAAGCTACAAAAAGCAGGCTGTAACTAATTTAGAAAGAGACAGAGAAGACCTGAAAAGAAAACAGATTGACAGCCCCCTATTATTTTTTATCTAATCAAGACAACAAAACTTAAGAAAGAGGAAAAGGAAAATAAAAAAACCCACCAGGTTGATTTATCAAGATTTTCTCTCAAGCCATTTGGATAGACAAAAGCATGTAGTCACATCTTTGATGTGTGAAGGTTTTCACATTGTTATTAGTGCTAACAGGGGCTTACACGCCTACAGATTTTAACCCTGAGAAAAACAGAATAATTGAATGCCTTAAAGTTCAGAAAGTGTGGAAAGTATAACAAAGAATAATGTCGATCTGAGCTTTATCATTACAGTATCATTCCACTGAATCAGTCTAAGCATCCGTATCATTTGCTGCTATGTGAAGAGAAATCCTCAACCTCTTGTATTAAAACAACCCTTTCTGAAAATAGTTTCAAATATTTGCTTTGCATTTGAATGTGTCAGGTTGTATGGGGTGTGGGAACTACCACTCTTGGAAGTTAAGAAGGGAAAGATTAGGAGTTTATTTACAGGTGTGGATCCCAGGCTCATTAAACTATGTTTAAAATAATATTTCAGTTGATTTCTACAATAGTTTTAATTCTCCAAGTGATTAGAAAAATTAGCATGCTAAGGCTGTCTGAAGGGCGAAGAAGAGTGTGTGAACAAAATGGGGGAAGGGAACAGACAAAAAGCCCAGCTTGGTTTGTGCTGGTGTTTAATAGCAAACAACCCTTTCCCACCCTGCTTCTCTTTTATGCCTGTTTTAGTTTTAAGTAACTTCTAAAGGTTTTCCAGCAGCAGATGATGCTCAGCCACTGCATTCATCTGAAATAAGATACGAACTTTGCCCTGCGAAGAAAATATTTGAGGTTTTCAACACAATATAGGGGTTGCAAATTCTCTGTGAAAATGGAAATTCCTTCTCATTTCTACCAACAGGTCCCTGAGGGTGAAATTTTGACCCTCAGTTTGAACTTCACTCTCTTTCATTAACACTAGAGTCATCTCTCATCCCATCTTGCACTTGCAACAATGAAATGTGGATAGTAAAGGAGAAACTGTCTCTTTGGGGTATGGCCATTAGTTAACACCTTTCCAGACAATGAGAGAGAGAGAGAGACTGAGAGATGATCAGAAAAGATACACAAAAATGCATGAAGTAGAAAGGGGGAGCAGGCAGGGGGAAAGCAACGTTCAGCATTTCTCCTTGCAGAACTGGCCCTGGGTCTGGCCTGATACCCTGAAGGTAGAGAAAGAAGGAAATAATTTGAAAAGGGCTTTGTGAGGGAGAGTTGATTCTGTTCACTGAAGGAAAATGTACTATAGAGAACTTAAGCAGTCAGAGCTGGCTTGTCACTTTTTCAAAGTTGAACTGGCATCACCAAAGAAGGCTTATTTGTGTTTGAGAGAAGAGGAAGCTCCCACCCTTCAACTTAAAGAACACTTAAAGCTCCTTATCAATAGAAGGACAGAATTTTAGCAAGAAGTTGCAAAATTCATTGACAGAACCCCAGAGCATTGGCCCAGAATTTGGCCCAAACACAGGCTCAGAGATTCCCAGTGGTCTTGTACCAAAACTTGTTAGCAAAACCTTCTTTTTCCCCTTCATACCTCTCCAAGCCCCTTCTCATCTCACCTGTACAAGTGTACAAATGCCAATACTTCAAGACATTTTTTCCTCATCTGTCACTTTAAGTCACTTACATAATAAAGAATTGCTAGCAGAATGGATCACCTCCATAGACACAGACATTTCCTCTGAGTTGTGCAATATTGAATTAATACACTGTGGAGAGGTCACGATCATAACCCTTTTCCTCCCTTTTTCTTTTATTTTTCCTGCTTTGGGAACAGAATATATTTGGGAATGACTGCTGTAACAAGACACAGAGAAGAAATAAACCTACCTTATGACTGAACTTTGAGTTTTGCCTTGGCACACCCTGATTTGAAATGTCTTAAAGCCACTTACAATTGTTACAAGGAAGGTAGGCCACCACTTTTTGAAACGTATATCTGTCATTCCTGTCTTACTCCTTTACTTGAATCTTACTTAAGTAATCTCTTTGTGTGCTTAATGTATAGTGAATACAGTGGAGCTCTGAATATATCCGAAACTGCCATCAGAGATGGGCTGAGGCACCAAGAAGGAGCAGTTACCAGGTGCAGAGCCCTGCTAAATATTACTACCTAGAGAGTAATATAGAACCAGATTTTTAAAGATAAACCGCACAACTAGGTCTGAACCCCAAGATTTCACTATAGCAATTTACTGCTCTGTGCAGTGTTCACATGCAGTCAATATGAGCCAAGGGACTGAATCAAACCTGCTGAGTTTTGACAGATTGGCTTTTACTTCATTTTTATGGCTATAGGTAAAAAGGGGCCTGCCAACCTACTATAGATTTTGGATCTACAGGATTTGGACCATAACATCTTATGTTTTATTGTGTTTCTTTAAAAAGACCCATTCTATTTAACTAGAAGCCATAGTTTTATTATTTTTTCTATTTATACTTAAGATAAATTGGAGATGGCACAAAACAGTGGAAGAGCAATAGCCTTTAGAAGCACGCTCCAAAATTAGAGTTTGTGAAATACTTTCCAAACATTTGCATGAACAGTGCTACATCGACCTTTTAGACAACTGGTTAAAAAGAGCGTTCTTTATCCTAAAGCATGTTTTTTTGGGATTTCTTAATGTAATTAATTCATCTTCTTTTTATACTTCGCCAGTGAGAAACTGACTTGTGGTCATTACCTCTGAGCACATTCCACTGTTTCTTTCAGTTTTGGCACGATACTTTACATTTTCATTGCATGGGGATCTCCGCAAACAAAGGAAAATTAAGAAACTGTCAGATTATATTTCATATATTACTCTTGGCATTGTACTCACTAGACCTGGTACACTGAGTTTTGAAAGCCTCTGATCTTTTATAACCATTTCCAGTCCTATACATACCCTTTAAAGTTTCTCATCTGCAGTCACTGGGAATATTATTATTAAAACTGAGGTAATCTGGATATTTTCTTTCTGTAAAGATATATAGACTGATCCATTACACCATAAATAATTTCCAATGTTTCATTATCCTTTCTGTTACACTTCTTATTGTTTTATTAAGATTCTGAATTTATTTCTTTCACCTTTTTTTTTTTTTTTTCCTGATAGGGATATATAATTCTTTAGAATTTAAAGTCAAAGTGCTTAGATGTAAGAATAGATTAATCCAGTTTGTTATATTTTCAACATGTTTGGTTTATAAATCAGATTCATGCTTCCTTTTATGATGCTTATTGCTTTGCCATTTTCTAAAAAGTGTTCTTTTATCTCTGTGCATCTTTGATTTAGTAGATTCACATATTTAGATAAATTGCAAAATGTTCAAAACTGTGTCAGCAAAAAAGGGTCTCTATCTACATCTCTGATACAC